AGTAGGCAGCTTGTAAGCACTGTCGAATATTGGCGTATGATAAGTATAAGTTTGTGTAAAAGCATAAACAAAACAACAGGTCTTTACCTTGGCAAGTGCGGTATCGTCACGTTTTCCAGTTCAAAATTATCCGGGATGGCACAAAGGCGTCCAATAACGGTGCACTTGCCGTAATGGATCTGTCGGTAATCGGGTTCCAGCACCAATTCCTCAACAAGCAAATATTTGAAGAAATCACAGTATCTGGGAAGGTTTTCTGCTGGATCGTTTGTGAGCGGCGCAATCTCAACGTCGCTCATCACTTTCCAACAGCGAATATGATAAAAACCTCAGAACCGTTTGCTGCTTTAATACATGAATAACACCAGAAGTGCATGCCGCTAAATATTAAGTGTTGTATAACGAAAAATCGCTCTCATATATCACGGGTATTTTATGGTCGCTGTGACTTCATAAAGTATTTGGTAGCCCTAACTAGAAACAGTGTTGCAGGACGCTACAATCGCAGGCGTCATTTTTTGCAGCCCTAGTACTATTAAAAAAGCGGCATTGCGTGAAAACAAATTGAAGTTAGCAAATAATTTTTAAATCTTATTTATCAGCCTATAAATAAAATAAAACCACCATGTCGTTTATGAACCCAGTGGACATGGTTGATGAGGATGCAGCAGACCTGCAATTTCCAAAAGGTAAAAATAACAAACGGCTAAGCAGCCCAACTAGCAACTTACAAGTGATGCAAATGAAGTGCCACGGGGTCCACATGGTGCGCCATGTACACCATAACAATCATTAAATTACTTCTTTACAGAGAAAGCTAACAGTCGTGAGGTTATGCGCTCATCTGTCAGGTTTGCTCGTGCCCGCACTGATAGAAAAACGAAGCGTGTAACGATTTATTATAATCACCTTGCATTCCACAATCAGCTCGATGAAAATGTAGATAGAGTTGAAAATAATGATCGCAGAACAGAGCACTCGTCGGGCTCAACTCTATGTGCAATCTGTCGCTCTTGCCTCGCAGAGCCATATATCAAGTGTGCCGAATGTCTGGATGTCCTAATATGCTTGCAATGCTTTTCACGAGGACGCGAAGTCGGGAGTCATCGCAACAGCCACGCCTACATTATAGTACGAGATGATATTCAGGTGTTTGCAAACGATTCTGGTTGGGTAGCACGAGACGAACGTGCACTGCTCCAAGCTCTACATACACATGGCTATGGCAACTGGGATGCCATAGCGAAAGCACTCGGGCGACGTTACTCACCAGAGGAGGTACGACGACACTATCACGATTGCTACTTCGGCGGCATCTTTGAACGGTTGCTCGGCTTGCAGCATGCTCGAAATTGTTACCTGCCCGAACGCATGCCATACGTATTCAAAATGCGATCCCTAGAGCCGCCTCGGCATGATGACATTTCCTCGATCCAGTTTAAAATGAATGCAGGATACCGCTGCGCACGCGGAGATTTCGACACGCCCTACGATTCCTCTGCCGAGGGTCTGCTATCGGTAATGATCGAACAGCAACGAGCAAACGTTGATGATGAGCTTGAAGATGAGATACCAGATAGGGAGTTAATGGAGGAACTGCAGTGCGGACTAGTCCGTGCTTACAACAATCGTCTGAGGTAGGAGCAACCCTCATTTATTGAAACCTACCTCAATTACAAGCCAATGTCAATGTACTTTTAGAGAACGCCAGCGACGTTACAAAATTATGCGTGACCATGGTCTCATCCTGCCAAACCGCACTGTTAGCTGGATAAGCAAATATGTGAGCGCTTTTCGCAGTGATGTCAGCTGCATGCGCTTCCTTGCACTCATGCAAGTTTGCAAACCCTTCCAGTTTGATTTGCTGGTGGAGTCGCTGCGCAATTATCGCCAATTACAAAATCGACTCCACTGGCTCTACGATATACGGCAACATGGCGTGCGCACTCTCTACGGCGGCGCGCTTTATACTCGGCTTTACAAGCAGCGCCAGCAGGCCCAGCGGGATTATGCACGGCAACGACAAAACGATGCTTACGACTGGCAACAATTGGTGCACCACTTCGAAAATAATCAGAATGTTGACCAGCTGTCTCAAGGCAGTAGCTCCAGAGTTTATATACATTGTCCGCGTCGGAAGGCGAGTCCAATGGACATTTCCGGTAAGAAATTCAAATATCTTGGCATATTCATACTTAGATACATTTATTATTCAGTAAAAAATAAATTATGTATAAGATATTAATTTGTATAGTTATTGTATGAATGTTTATATTCCTTTTGGCCATGTATAATAATAAGCTTATTATTAACTACCTAAATTTTTATTTTCAGATCTGCCAGGATACTCCAAGCTGGATGCTGGAGAACGTACACTTTGTAGCGTGGCGCGTCTAATACCACAGGCCTATTTGGAGCACAAAACCCAGCTAATTGCAGAGCAGGCCAAGCTGGGGCATCTAAGGCTGGGCGATGCACGCCGACTTATTAAGATCGATGTTAACAAAACGCGTCAGATTTATGATTTCTTGGTGGAAAATGGCCACATTCGACCTCATTCTAATGGCTAAACTTGTAGCATTTTATTCACTTGCGTCTCACTTGTAAATTGCAAAAAGAAATGAAATATTTCGCAATATAATTTATTCTCATATAGCGGCGCATGGTGTTGTCTTTCAGAGTTCGAGAATGCTGAGACACTGCTCATATCAGAGGTGCACATGTTACTGGACCATCGCAAACGGCAAAATGAATCCGCTGACGAAGAGCAGGAATTTTCAGAGGTCTTCATGAAAACTTACGCCTACACAGACAGTTTTCGCAAATTCAAGAATAAAGAGACCATTATGTCCGTACGCAGGTAAATACAAAATACCTATCATTATAATCAGCATAACTTCAGATTCAATTTGTTTTCTTCTAGTTTACTTATGCAAAAGAAACTTCACAAATTCGAACTTGCCGCTCTGGGCAATCTCTGCCCGGAGGCGCCGGAAGAGGCGAAGGCTTTAATACCCTCTTTGGAGGGTCGCTTTGAAGACGAAGAATTGCGCCAGATACTTGACGATATAGGCACTAAACGTAGCTTACAGTACTAATGCTTAATTTTGTAGTAAATAAATAAACTAATATATATAATTCATATAAGTAGTTTTAAGCTTACAAATATATATATACCTTGTTTGCTTCTGATGAAACATATTTATTTACATAGAACATTTTCAGCATAATTACTTTAAAGTTATCAGCATCATCGTATATCATATGTGGGATTGCTAGGTAATTTGACGAACGTACTCAGACTAGGACTATTTACTATCAGCAACATACATAATGTTTAAAAAGTAACTAGTAGACAATGATTTTAAGAAAGGCATAGCCTATGTAATATTGCCTAAAAAATAAAAGATGTGCCCGCCTAAATTCGAAGTACTTGCATATAATATTGATGGCTTGGACGACAGTAAGCAACCAACATTTTTAACAAAAATTTTCTATCGGACTCACTTTTTATTTGACTTTTTAGATCGATTAAAAAATGACAAACTATCGATAAATGCACAGCCTATAGAGCGTGCTTACAATATTAATATTTAAAAAAATATCAATTAAAAAATATATAATTAAATATAATTTGATATGAAATTAGTGTATTTTCCATTTCTGCTAGGTGTTTGTAAAAAGTAGGCAAAAATCTAAAATAAACACTTGCTTACAAAAAGACGAATATATGTTCCACTGAACATGTTCCAAAATGAACATATGCATGTAAACGATTACCTGCATTAAGAACGAGAAACCAGTCTTCATATTTGAATTACAGCAATAAATAAAGAAGAAAACACATTCACAATGAATAAGGACAATTCCAGCATGCAAATGGATCCTGAATTAGCATTGCGCTTGCTGGCAGAGGGCGCCGTGTTGGTCATAGCCGGTGTTCCTGTAGGCACAGAGTTTGGCATCGACTTGTGCTCGTATACCATTGGTCCAGATTTTCGTGGCGTTAAGATGATACCGCCAGGTGTGCACTATGTATGGTGCGCATCCCGCGGCCCGTATGGTGACGCTGCACCTCGTGTGGGCTTCGTCCATTTCTTTCATCCTAATGAGATTCTTGTGCGTGAATGGGATAATGAATTGGAGGAGCTGCGGCCACGCCAGACAACAGATCCAGAGCTAGAGCGCACCCGTATAAGAAAGAACTTAGCACAACTTGAGCGCGTTCTGGCACCGTATGACTATCGTTATGTGTATAAGTGGAAAGATCTAACTGGCAGCGTTACAGAGGCGTGCGTAAATCGCTGCCGCCCCGAATTGGGAACAATTCGTACTAACATTGAGCTAGAGTCCTGTACAGATGCTGACAGGCCACGCGGTGGAACAGACAGCATCAGCAAACGGAATACAGCTGCCAAGTTGCTGCTAGATGAGAGTGAGATGTTGCCATACCTGAAGCCCGTACAGGGCACAGCGCCACGTTTCTGTGCTGTGCCCACACGTGTTCCACAGAATTCCCCGCCAGCAGATGTTTCGCGGCATGCGATAGACTGCATAGCAGCTGTAGACAAGCTACTCGAAAAATTTGCAAACAATCCCGATGCACTCATTGAGGAGGTACAGCTGTCGTTTGTGTTCTTTTTAGTTGGCTATTCAGTGGAATCTTTGGACCACTGGCGGAAGGTGCTCGCCTTGCTGGCACACTCGGAGACGGCTGTTAGCAAATACAAACTGGCCTTTATGAAATATAGCGAAGTGCTAGCCCACCAACTTCCGCATCTGCCTGAGGAGTTGATGGCGCCCACCATGCACAACACAGTCTACAAAGATGTTCGCGAGCTGCTAGTGAATCTTTACGCTGGTGGTCTAATGGTTAACGCTGAGCGCCTTATCAAACGACTGGCCAAGCAGCTAAACTGGCATTTTGAGGGCTTACTCGACGAGGATCCCGAAGAACAACCCGTGATAATAGAGCTGCCCCAATAAGGCGAGGTAAACAGTGCTGGTGCCAATATTCATGCCATCTTTTTATTGGTTTCTTTTCTCGATTTCGCACAGAAAATCCAGACTCCCTAACGAAGCGAATGTTGAGTGCGCAAATAATTCCAAAGGTCTCGGGCCGTGCGTATGCTTACCATAAACTGGCATAGCTTTGTTTCTATCAAGCAGAGTATCAGGAATTTGGCTCGTTTATCCTTCAGCAGTGACTGCATAACATAATTAATTGGGGCAATAAATGAGAGCTCTAAATGGAATATTGTACAAATAGCTACCTCTTCATTGTTCTCCGGTCCGTTTTCAACAACCGTCCATAGATCTTCGGACTCCAAATACGCACGCACCGTCATCGACCACGCTTTGTAATTATCCAAGCCTTTCAACTTCTCAATTTGCAGTTGCAGCGTCATTTCCCAATATTTTGTTGTCTCAAGACCTACCGACGTTTTGCAAATAAATCGTTAGGCCTTTTGGCGTCTCTACTTTGTGCTGCTGTCTGCCAATTTGCCTAGTTGTTCATATTTAGATATACATATAAGCAATTGTATATGCTATGACATGCCGGGTCGTATCGTATGTGGCTATCTCTTTTGTTATGTGCTTTCAATGGTGGTGATGGTGGCGGTGTGGTGGGCTATTCGGATGGTTGGCCATACACAGCCCAAACAATGGCACTAGACCTAGTTCCACTGCAGTTGCAAGTGCATTCAATGCCACTGGCTTTGACATTGAGCTGAAGTGGACTCGAGCACTTTGAGATGCTGCTCTGCTGCATTGCTGTGTCTACGACGTGCGTCTAGTATTGACACATGTTCCATGATTTGACCTTCACGCTAATTTGTGTTAAGTTTTCCATGTTTAAACTATTTTAAATTTGTAAGTCCACACCAAATCCTAAACAAGCTTAATTTTTTAATAAAATTATGATATTAAATATATTAAACAATATCTGCATTGCTAAGCGATTTTAATTATGAGGGTCTTTCATATTTAAGCATATGAACTGATATATTGTAGTATAGGATATGCAATTCTAGTAATATTAACTTTTACGGATCCCCTCACTCACAAATTATTCAAACTTAATCCAAATTATAATAGTAGCCCACTCATTCGCAGTACCCACCTACTTACGTCCTTAATATAAAATATCGATGCCTTCTCTGCGGACGCTGTATCAATCAGCAATGTAATATTAAGTTATGCGCAATTTTATTTTTTTTATAATTATTTTTATTTGAAATGAATACGAATGTCAGTTTAGCTTTTGTTTTGCTGATTTTCATTTTTCATTTAAGAAACTTGTGTTTTTCGATATTATTTAAGTATTTACTGCTGCCCTACGCTCCAATTTTCTGCTCGGTTTCTCACGGCTGCGTTTTCAATATAAATACATACATACCTATATATAAATACATATATATATGCGTGCGTATATACTCATAAAATTTTCTCATTCACAAGAAAAGTGCAGGCAGAAAGTGTTTGAAACGGAATGCTTTTCAATTTGGATATTAAGTTTGTTGTTCTGGTCAAATTGTTTGCCTGGAACGCAGCAACAAATAGGGGAAAACATAAAACTTTGTTTCTGATTTTTCATTTTCAGCTAAAATAAATTATATAATTACTGGCTTGTTCTTATTATTGTTTTTAAATGCAAACATTTTGTCGCAGGTAGTTATTTTGGGATGATCTTTTCATGTGGAAATATTCGAATTCGAATTCTCTACAAGTTACATAAGTGGTAGGCATAGAAAATATACAAGTACATATATCTGAATGTATATATACTAAGATGTATACAATATATATTTAAATATATGTGTACCATTTATTTAGCAACTACAAATACTTTTGTTTTTTGAAATGTTTGTGTCGAAGTGAATTTAAAAACGTCAAACAAACTCTTGGTACTTATCAAAACACTAACATAAACTGCGCCTAAATCTTTTATTTGCGAGCAATAGAGCGGTGAGAGAATGAGAGAAATCAAATAATTAACAGAGATGAAAGCTTTTCTATTTGCTTAAATGGTGATTGATTGCTCCGAGTGTTTGATTTTCGTGTCTGTGTCAGTGTCTCCGTGTCTTTTGAACAATACACTAACATACATACAAATTTAAGCTTAAGAATTCGTTTTAATTTTATTCGTGCGAATTTCGCTTTAACTAACATTCCTTCTTTTCGCCTCATAGTTTATTCTTATTTAAGCTTGACTTTGTTTTTGTTTGCTCATTTCGTTCTTACTTCACATTTGCTTTTCGTTTCGTATGAAATTAAAATTAATTGTTGCTGTTTTGTTCATGCATTTACTTCATACAAATTGTTTTGGTATTTTATTTTTACGCTTTCTTTGCTTCGCTTTAATTCAATTTGCGCTTATTAATTTTTGTATTTTTATTTTTGTGTTATTTCCTTTTCATTTATTTCATTTCATTATTTTTATGACTGGCTTAAAATTAAAATTGAAGTTGTGAATTTTATGTAGTTCTCATTTTTATGCTGATAAGATTGTAAAATGATTAATATGCCAACTTTCAATGAAATGTACGTTTTGCTTACTGTGTGTGTGTGTGTGTGAGTGTGTGTAATTAGTTTGAAATGAGTTTATTTTGTTTTCGCTTCTCAGAATTAAATATAATATTTATTTAAATATAATATAATGCTTTTGTTTCTCGAATGCAAAAAATTTCAAATGTAGTGTTGCTTGTTGTTGTTGCTGCTGCTGCATAGCTTTGGGAGCCAGGGCAAAGGCTCGCATTCCACAGCGAAGACGACGATGGCTGCACCTAAATCTAGCCCCAACAAGAGCCACGCCCATTACCACCCTCACTTTGTGCCAATTTCTGCTGAATTTGTTATATGTACTTTGTGGGCTTTGCTGCTACTGCTGATGCTGCTGCTACTGATGTAGATGTTGCCATGGCTGTTATAGTTCGTATTCTTTCTGTATTGCTGTTAAATTTCACTGTGGTTGCTGCTGCCCTTGGAGTAGTTGTCGCGTATCGTTGCTGTTGATTTTTAGTTGCTGATGATGCTGTTCTTGTTGTTATTCTTGTTTACTACCCGGTTGCGCGTGTTCTTTTATTGTTGCATGCATATATATTATATGTATTATATTTACTTTAGAAGGTATATGTTTTTGTTTTGTTTTGTGTTTTAAATGGAAGGGCGGGGGTTTACTTAAATTACGACACATCCTGATCCTCAACATCCTGAATTTCCTGTTTGGGTTCGCCATCGCCTGTTGTGGAGTCTATATTTGTGAAAAGAGCAAAGATTTATTTTACATTAGTCAAATGGAAGCGAACAAAATATAATTTATCAATATCGTTTCTGAGCGATTACACACCATCTGCCTGCATATCGGACGTCCATAATGTGAGGTTATCCCGCAGAAGCTGCATAATCAGTGTCGAGTCTTTGTAGCTCTCTTCGCTTAGTGTATCCAACTCAGCGATGGCATCATCAAATGCGGCTTTCGCCAAGCGGCAAGCGCGATCCGGTGAATTGAGAATTTCATAGTAAAACACCTAGGATTAATTAAATGGATAAAACGCATTTAATGAGTTGATATTCAAATAAACATTATCAGCATTATTTAACTTACCGAAAAGTTCAAAGCCAGACCCAATCGTATGGGATGTGTTGGTGGCAGATCGTTCATGGCAATATCACTTGCAGCCTTATAGGCAATCAGTGAGTTTTCTGCAGCATCCTTACGATCCGAACCGGTGGCGAATTCGGCCAAATAACGATGATAATCTCCCTTCATCTTATAGTAGAATACTTTACTTTCGCCGGACGTGGCGCATGGAATGAGATGTTTCTCGAGCACATTTAATATATCCGAGCAAATGTCGCGCAGCTCCTTTTCCACCTGACCACGATAGGTCTTAATCATTTCCAATTTCTCTTCAGCGCCCTTGTTCTCCTCTTTCTGTTCAATGGAGGTAATGATGCGCCATGAAGCGCGACGTGCTCCGATTACATTCTTGTAGGCAACCGATAGCAAATTACGCTCCTCAACGGTCAGCTCAACGTCCATGGAAGCGACCTTCTTCATGGCCTCCACCATTTCTGTAAGTGCACAACAAATAAACAAAATATAATAAACTTTTCTTTGGCGCCTATTATGCAAATTTATATAATTTATGCCGGAGTGTGCGATATGCTGAAAATAAATATTCTATCATTAGTTACCTCCACTTAGTATCCACTGTAGGTGTTTGCTTTTCCATATTATCGGCTATCCACACTCACATTCACATTTGCACATTCGCTATCTATGCGTAGACACACTTCCAATCTTTAATGACATAACCTATCACACACTCAGGTAGATGATATATACATAGCTGTTTCCTGTGACTACTATTTGCTAGTTTCAGGCCAATTTTGTCATGGAGAGTTGTCATGATAAGGAAAATCAGGAAAATAACACTTCGTCACCCACATTGTTGCACATTTGTCTAGGCTAAGCAACAATGCGAAAGGCGTCATCGGCTTAAAACCGCGTCATGAATCACATGCATATGCAGTGACTGAATTCTTTCGAAATACAGCTGCAGCTTTTGAGTCGGTCGTTACTTTTGTGTGCGTATTGATAACATTTCAACTGACACACACATATTAATTATACATATATATATTTGTAACACACATTGAAACAAATCAGTGCTAAATAGAGTAATTGTGGCATTTTGACATTGCCTGCACTGCTCTCTTCTTCTGTCTCTCTCTCTCTCTCTCTCTTTACTTGCAAGCTGCTAACATATATATGTATATGACTATGTAGGTATTTAAGCATGAACGCCGCCCCCATCATACCCCTCATGATTATTTACGTTCAAACAGCGGGAGCTTTGTTTTTCGTATTACTTTTATATACTGCTGCAGCACGTAGCTGTGAAAATTCGAAAATAAAGTTGCCTGTGTGATTCACTGTGCTCAATTTAGTAGCATCTTGTTGCTGGTTTTCGGTGAACTTCAAATTGTTGTTTGGCAATGGCACACAATTGTAATGCATTAATTGGAATGCATTTTACAACACTATGCGCTTACTTTCACAGCATCCACAAGCACTGTGGGCCTACCAAAAATATTCAAATTTTTTAAATTTAGATTTCGAAAAAATAAACAAGCCCAGATAATATAATACCATATAGTTAAATCGAAATTCCCACGACATGACTACGCAAAGGCAAAAAAAGAAAAAATACGTCAAAAAGCCAAATTCAACAAACCGCCAGCCCACCTCATCGTACACCCATACATTTACATATGTACAAGACACCCACCCATATACGTCACATTAATATTCTGTTTAAAACTTTGGCAACATTTGTGACGCCATTAACAAAGGGACATTACAAAAGGATATCGAAGGCGAGCGATACACCCCTGGTTCCGGTGGTTATTAATGAGCCTTAACACATAAAATATGCTTAAACATACATAGATCCGATTATTTGTACAATATGTAGTCACATATTTGCGATTTCTTCTTTAATCATCTGCGTGCCTATCAGGTTATTAGCCTGAGTATATGATGCCGTTAGAAAAGTATAAATACACAAGCAAAAAGATAAATAAATAATATAAACTCAAAACAAGAACAAATATAGCAGTCAATCTAACATTTTGTAAACTCTTCTCTCTGCCTTCTGTTTTTCTGTTTTCTATTGACGACATTAACCTGAACGTCAACAAAAAAATGCACAGCAGCGACCTCGAAAAGACGTAGCTAGAATAAACGGGAGCAGCAGCAGCAGTCCGCACCTGAAAGCACACTTAAAGGCTAACTACCGCTGCTGACGTTAATGTATATAGAGGGGAGTGGGGAAAGCGGCAAAAGGTGGCGTTGTGTGGGGGCGACGTAGGGGAAGAAGCGGGTCCAGAGGAGAAGCAAGCCAGACGTTGCCGGCTGCCTGGAATGCATTTGTGTTAGTCTCCAGCATGACCAAAGCTGTCGTAAGTGCGACAAGGCCAACGCCAAGTGCTCGCACTAATACACAGACGAGGACAGTTTGGAGCTCACGCAGGCAAAAATAAGAAGACAAACATGTGATACAGACTTTAATGTTCACATGTGTATGTGCGAGGAGTATGTCTGTGTGCGTGACCGCAGTGGCTGCTAATAGTTGATTGACTTCTTTGGAACGCCGAAGCAACAATGAGAGGGAAGGGGATAAAAAAAATCAGACTTTGTTAGGTGTTCGCAGTATTCCTGTCAATTGCTAGTAGAATTGTTAGTTATAATTACTACAGTTAATGCCTCTGACCGAATACAAGAAACACATTAGCAAACTTCTGACTACTACTGTATTGGGGCAGAAGAGGCATCAGTGTCTGTGTCAGCAACACTAGTTATCTCGTTTTAACGCACACGGAAACACATTTGAGCAACGTCGTTGAGCGCGCGCGCTTTTTAGTCAATTCCCCAAAACCATCGCAGCTGCCTAGCGTTTTGCATTTTGAACAGCCGTAGCATTTTAATTAATTGAAGTATTTTTAATTAAATAAGCTACCAGCAACAACACAATTTTCGACCGGGATGGTGTGAGTAGTTAAGATAGTAGCGGTGAGCGTGCGTGCGTATGCCTTCCTGAGGCACACAAACACACACACATACATACATATGTACACACACATGCGCACAGAAGCATGAGTAATGCTAGTGCAAATTTTTTTTCTTTTCTGCACTATCAAGTAGAGTTGCCAAGTTCCTGCCCTTAATTAATGCGAGAAAGTTCTTTTCGAATAGTTTCAGTAAAAGGGACAATCACTAATTTGCATAATAACCAACAGAAAAAAAAAATATTCGCAATGTCTGGCAGCGGTCGGCGATCGTTACTCTAACGACGATTTGTGAGGCCCCAGTCACACAATCGATTCATTCATCGATTTTTCGCAGTACGGCATGATGACGACGTCGCCGCCTTGCTGCTGCGCAACAAAAGCACATTTTAAGTGCCGACGAAACAGAGCGAAAGGAACAAGAGAACAACGAAGTTTTCGTCTCTCACTTATTTCAAATACAGGCAAAAGCAAATTGTTCACGTATTTAAATATGGAATTAATTATGCTCCTTTATGGTTGTAACTTAATTTTTTCTACTTTACTTTAAGTTGGACTTGGCAACATAAAAAGCAACTACAAAACAGCCCTTAGCAACGTTGTAATGCCCCGTTGCGCAGCCCTTGCGCGCCTATCAGCGAACACTAAATACACAAAATTTCAACTTGAAAAATCCCCCCCATCCTATATATTTTCTTAGTTAAGTAGCTACTAAATACATACATATGTATATACATATAAAATAATACGCAACAAAGTTGCCTTTTTGCAAAGGCCAACGCAAAAACGAAAACCACGCGAATTTTTGCCGGTAAAAATCAGGTTTGTTTTACATGTTTCTTTTACAGTCTTTCTTTTCAACAGCGCTGCCTCGCCTCCTCGTCATCTTCTTTTTCATTCGGTATTCGGTCTTTTCGCAGAAACACTACTCATCGGATGCGGCGGCGACGCCGATTCGACGCTGCTGCTGCTTCTGCTTCTACTTCTGACAAAAGCCATTGGTAAGGCAGAGGGGCGCACCTACACATACACATGTCTGCAAAATTAATAATTGCTACTTTTCTTGTCACCCGCTGTAGAAAATTTTGATATTTTCCACAATTTTTGACGTAGCGCAGGCCACGCGACGACAATGTCGCTGGACCCCTCCCCAAAACTTGGCGCTCCGCTGACAAAAAAATTTTTTCGCCCCGTTTTTCGTACTTACCATCGTAGCGCTCGGCCTGTTCGGCCAATTTTGCCTTGTAGACGTTATTTTCACGTTCAGTCATTGTGTTTAAATCCTTTTTAGTAAAATTAATCCACAGAAAAAATTATTTTAAATGCTCCCGGTACGTGCGGCGTCGATTATGCTCTGCTGCTGTCTTCGTCGCCTTCTTTTTCTCTACTGCTTTTTGAGTTGACAAGCGCTCTGCTTAGCTCACTCGCACGCTCGGTTCGGCTGCCGTTCCGTTTTCAATGTCGTCGTGGACGCTACACGAATCTGCGAGTACAGTAAAGAACGTTTGGGGGTAAATGAATAATTTATACACTGAGAGCGAGCGTGCGTCTTAAATTTATTTCTTTTATTTTTTTTTTCAGTTTTAAAACTATTTATAATTTTAACTGTCTTTCCACACACTGTCACAAGACGATATTAATTTGTATTATTTGATTGATTTTAAACGCTTACTTTGTCGTCGGTCGCTCAAAAATGTCTCTGAGAATGAGAGGCAGAGGCGCGGCAAAAAAAGATGGCTCTTGAGTAGCGATGCACGCATATTTAAAGTATCGATAAGAGACAAAATCGCACGATAAATAAGTAAAGTGTGTAACGACAAAATTTTATAATCATATGTGTTAGAAGAGTTTTAATATTTCAAATAATTATACATCTTAGCTGGCTTTTGTGCAAGACGCTTATTATGATAATAAACCGTACTGGTCGGTATATATTTGAATGTCTGCTAGTACACTAGCGATTACTATCGATGGTATTTACTCTTTGTATTTTCCAAATAAAAGCATAGTATAAATAAAAGTATAAGACAGAAAAGTAAATATAATTTCTTAACATTTTTATATTATAAGATTTGAACACTAGTTTTCCATGTTGTTTAGGTAAACATACATATTTTTCGATAGACTAGATAGTCTAGTCTGCGCCTCCTTCTCCAGTCAATTCTCTGTATCAATTATTCTGTATCTTTTTATTTAATAAATTGTTTGACGTTTAATTTAATGTAATAATAGAAAAAATATATATGCTTTGATTACTTTTTAGTTGACCGAGCGATTTGGTGATTTTTTAAATATCCACTGTTATTAACATTTACGAAAATTTTAATGCTCAGATACTGTTACTGTAAATTGTCTGTTATAACTCCTTCCCATCTGTTCAGTTAAACGACAACACAAAAATAATGGTAAAAATTTTAAGAGGATGCCGAAGTTAGAGAGTTAGTCATAATACAATGAAATTACTAAAGGAAATATATGCCTTACGTACAATGCATACTTGAATATACATTTACGAAAATCAGTTAACAGCAGAGACAGCAGTTTGTGCAACCACAGTTTGGCTCCATTACCAAATAAAATCAAACTCATTAATACAAGGATATTGTATCTTCTTGTGCTACGATGACCCTAAATCTGGGAGGATGGATACACAGTTTCACAGTAACTGATACACAACAGCACAAGGGAGGCTATACTATTTACAAGATTACATCGATTGTAAGTATCTCGGATTTGTACGAACTATAAACCTTATTGGAACACTTCATTGCTAGGTCTTCCCCCGATCGGTGCCTCAGGCACTAACGTGCCTTGTGGTTTGGAAACGATTTCATGAAGTCAAACGACTGCATAGGGAACTTAGTCGCCGGCACAAAAGTATGAAGCTGCCGGGTAAAGTACCCGAACCAACAGACAGCAGCTATTTTAAACGTTTCGATGAGGATGTGATACAGCTACGCAAAGACTATATACTCAGGCTACTTGACTTTGCCGCCCAGCATCCGGTGCTATACAAATGCAACAGTTTCACACAGTTTTTTAGCGAAGCTCAATCACCAAATTCATCACCTTTACGAAAATTGTATGTGGAGCGCTCGCTCAAAATACCTGGCAGCGGTGCAATAGCGGAAATTTGCGATAAACTCGATTTGCCCTACGATCCACACGACGCTAATGGCATGGTGCTCTTGGATCCACGCTGTGACAAGCCTAGCAGCGATAGCGAGCAAAATGAACAGCAAGAGCATGAGCAAGAGCAGCTTAGTGTAGATAAGGTGGTGGAAAAACAGGAACAACAATCTAAGCGTGACTACACACGCCTGTTGACGCCTATGGCTTCGGTAGAGAGCGAGGACAGCGATTACATTTATGAGGCGGCCTTGGAATTCAGTCATGCTGTACAGTCGGAGGTCAATTTGGAGTATGAAGATGCCCATAAGCATTACAAGCGCGGAGTGGAGCTTTTGCTTGTGGGTTCTAAATGTGATAGTAACGAGGATCGTAAATTTATTGCCAAGGCCAAGATTGCCAAATATCTGGCGCGTGCCGACGATATTTGTGCAAATTTCTTGCGCTCCGATGTCGGTCGTAATGGCAACAGGAAGCTCCAATTCCAACTCTCTCTGGATGAAGTCGACAGTGTAACTCAATTAGAATGTGCCTGGAATCAATTGGCTAAGTATAAGGTGCTGAAAGTGTTGGGAGATCGCGTCATGCAGGTGCAGTGCATCACAGAGCCACAGTCGCGGCCAACGTGTATAATGAAGGGCATCGAGAAGCCAGCAAGCAATTCGCCCACCCAAAGCATTTTTCTGCCACAGCGTGTGCCCTACATGTGCCAACTGCTGGCATACTTCCAATCAGACCAGAAGATTTTCCTGTTGCTCAAACAGGCCGAGGGTGGACGCCTTTACGACTATATCCAAAGCTACACCCCTACGGCTAGCAAAAGTGCTGACTACGCCAACTTATTCCCTGCGGAACAGCCATTGACAGTCGCTAGTGATGTTACCGAACTCGTTCGCAGTTCGCAGCAGTTGCTTAAATCAGTCTCGCATACTTTGAGCAACTTGCATGCGGGAGTGCTGACTCCAAGACGACAGCAGACGACGGCGAGGCGTTTGCCTGAGGTCTGCTTGCGTCAATGGGCTTGCGAGCTGGCGGTGGCTATACACAGTCTGCATGGCAAGGGTGTTATATTGCGAGACCTACATATGGAAAACATTTTGCTGGGAAAGTCTGGCCAATTGATGCTCACATACTTCTACCAGAACGAGGGTCTAACCTCCGATGACAACTACGTGCATAAGGCACTGAGTTTCCAAGCTTTAAACAATCATTTCGTGGCCCCAGAACGACCGCTTACCCTTCGCTCAGATTGGTGGAGCTATGGAATCGTTCTCTACCAGCTTCTATTGGGCGTGGTAAGTTACTCAAATCTTTTTACCTTTGCTTCAATTCTACTAATTGATTGGTTAATGCAGTCGTACAAGGCAATGCATCCCGGCCATCTGGAGCTCTATGGATGTGTACAATATCCGCCAGATGTTGAGGACATATCGGATAATGCACGAAATTTGCTAGAGCAACTAATTCAATTGTCACCAGAGCAGCGTTTGGACTATGAACAGGTACAGGCACATCCATTTTTTGAAGGAGTCGATTGGCAGACAGTTTTGGACCAAGGCAACGGTTCGTCTTAGTTAATCGTATGACGAAGAGGCACCAAATGTATCGAATTTCCAAATTCGCCTTATCTTTTAAATAGTAGGGCGATTTGAGGAACTTGAAGAATCTTGATAAACAGCCAAAATTTGTTTGAAAGTAAGAGAAAATTTCGATCTAATCACATTTGTTTTTTGATGTTTTGTTTGTTTTTTGTTTTCTGCTCATAGTTTTGTTTGACATGAATTCTGTGCGGTACAAAATATGTTACTTTATTATTTAATGTAAATGTATTATTTTCTTTATGTATATATACATTGCAAATTGCTAGAGTATTTCATATTAAGAAGCAAACTAGATCTTAGACTAATGAAAACTTGAAGCAACTGAAACTCGAAATTAGATTACTAAGATTCATATACCAAATGTATTAAAACATTTTTTGGTTTTGTTTATATACTATAAGCCAATTATACAAACATACAAACACTTTATTGTCTATCTACACAACAGTTTTTGATATACTAAATTTATACATATAACTAGGGGCAATAATTACGAACCGGACTGGGGAGAAAGCGAGAGGCTTTGTCTCATCCATCTGGTTACTGCTAATAAGGCACATTTGGAATGCATTCCGTACATGTTGGCGATTGGGAAAGGCCAACAATGTATTTTTGTTTTTAATTTTGATAGTAAGGCTAATAAAAAGCATTAAGTTTTGGCAAGACTTGTTGATTTTGTCGTTGTTGTTGTTGTAGTCGGTCAACTTAACTATGCTTAAAATTACAAGGAACCCATGGCAGCAATTCTGCTAATTGTTGCCATATTTTCGATATATTTATGGTATTTTCTATAGCTTGAAGACTTTTGGAAATGCTGCACACACACATACGCACACGCACACACACACTCATGCAACAGATTTTGGGCAGCGTGGATTTGATTGAAATTGAATGAAATCAAAATGGCCGTTTGAAGCGTGCTGATGCGAGTACAGAGACAGTGGCAGAGGCAGGGACGAAGCGTCGCTGCTGACGTCGATGTGTGAGCATTTCTCTTAGTTCAAAAAAGGCGGCAGGACATAACTTTGCGCCTGTTGCTGTTGTTGCTGCTGCTGTTGCTGTTGCTGCTGTTGCTGCTGAACACTGACGCCCGCCTCCTCGCTCTTGATCACAGTATGCAAAGCACTGTCATTGTCATCACTGCCGGATGCAGCTGTCCCCGTGGCCACATAGTGATGCCCATCCATGTGGCAGGTAGGTGTGTTCTCCTCCAGTCCCGTGGGCGGCTGGCACTGCACCTGGACATATTTAGCCTCCTCGGCACTGAGATACTTTCCATTCAACTGCTGGTGCACTGTAATCAGCTGGGTGCTGGTGCTGCCGTCAAGGTGCTGCTGTTGTTGTTGCTGCTGTTGCAGATCTGTCGCCTGGTAGCCATCTCCAGCCTCAGGATTGCCGCTTGCTGTCCCGCCCCCGCCGGTGCCGTTCATCTCGATGCGCGGCGGGCTGCCGTAGTCAAAGTGCCGCATGGGAAAGAGCTGGCTCTCGTGGACATAGGTGCCGTACTGGCCGGAATAGGTTCCATAGGGACTCGCCGCCGGGGAGAGCAGGCTAAATTGTGGGCTCAGCTCGTAGGGTGTCTGATAGCTCGTCCAGCTGTCCATGCTGCCCGGCGGCGTGACTGTTGTCGTCTGCGGGAAACTGGCGAAAGGCGGAGCCAATGAGCTATTCAGCGCAGCCGTCGGCGGTGTGTTCGTCTTGATGTAACCAGTCTTCCGTGGCGGCTCATGCTTGCGCCATTTGGCCCGTCGGTTCTGAAACCATACCTGCACTCGGGACTCGCTCAAATTCAATTTGATGGCCAGCTCCTCGCGAGCAAACACATCCGGATACGGAGCACGCTCAAAGGCACGCTCCAGTTCTTCAAGTTGATAAGCCGTAAATGTGGTTCTGTAAACGAAAAAGAAAACCGATTATAATTAAGTGCTGTATCTGTATCTGTATCTGTATCTGTATCTGTATCTGTATCTGTATCTGTA